TTTTGGATTATTATCTTTTTTTATCATGAAGGTTTAATTACGACCTCCCATTAAAAATGGTCCCTTCATTCTTCAATAAATTCCTAAGGATGTTAACGCTTTAATAACGTCTGATTGGATGAACATTAAATTTGCATTCTTGTAGGGAATAAGCAGACAAATTAAACTCCTGTAAAGTCTTCCTTGGCACGTTCCAAGTCCAGTTACTTCTCATTAATCAAGAAATAATTGACTGATATTTGCCCTGTGTCCGTTAGACAGTCAGCTCAAAGGCGTGAATTTCTCCGCCCCACCCCTCATCGAAGTAAGATTCCTCGGTTAAGCGCTTGCATAATCAATTTCATCTCCATTCCATCACCGAGTGCGACAATTTTGCTATCTAAATTTCTATTTCTCTTGAGCATCCCGTCTTGATGCTCGACTAATGACGTTCACGAAGTCATATTGTTTCCATCAGTGACGCCGCCCTTTCCACAAATTTTAGTGCCTGGTGTAGGTTGTGGTGATTATTGGGGAACAAAAGTTGGGGTCACATGATGAGCCTCATTCGACATGATCAAGTTGAATTAAGGTCAAAAAGATGTCTGAAAAAACAATTTTGCTAAAGGTAACAGTAGAATCAAGAGTATGATACTAACTGAGCTGACGTGAACTTTAAAGATCTAAACGAAATAGTCTAAGCTGCTGTTACTTTAAATCAAAAGACTTTGTATCATGACAGACGGATCAAAATCAACCAAAAAAGACAGATGAAATGTTATAGATCTGAAAATCAAACGATAGACATCACGGAGCTGACCAATTATAAATAAAAGGCCGAACTTTATTCATTCAAATAACACGCGACTATGTACTTGATTCCGTTTGATGACTCACGCCCACGGTTAAAAAACGTTTGTCTCAAAAGATGACGTTATTTCTTTCGAAACTTCCATTTACCCGGACGATCAGGCCCAAGGACGGGTAAATTTTCATGATATCCTTCCCTTTACCGTCTACACGATTAAAGAGACAATTTTTTTTTTGTTTTTTTTTTCATGATAGAGAGAGTTGATGGATTCTAATTTTGCAGACTTCTATCTACGTCGCTTGATGGTTTTCACCACATATGTCCGGCTACTTTGCTGTCATTCCTGTAAGCAACACCTCATGGGTTGAGAAGGAGTCAGCCCAGCATCTATACACCCTTTATACCTCTCATTTCATCCCGACACTTACCTGGGTAATTATAGACCTTGATCTACTTTTGGTCCCTTTAAGCAAATATAAAATTAAAGTTCAACAGTCTTACTTACAGGTTCAGATGAGAATAGATGCTGATATACATTCCGCTGAGAGCTCCTGACGAGAGATTCTTTAATTGGTTGTTAGACAAGTCCCTACAATTAACAATAACAACAACAAAGTGTAAGCTATTATACATAGGATAATTTCTGCATAATGAATAAAAGTGTTTGACCACATTCTGATATGATTTGACTAGTTAGGGCTACTTTTATATCATGGAATATATCTTTATTGACTCTCCAAAATTTAACTTGGCTTTAACCGCACTGAAGCTGTTTACTTATGTAAACTTATCCTGGGGCTGAATAATATTGTTTACTTGGTATTTTCTGTAGGTGGTAACATCCGCTCATCTTACTAAAAGTAACAATTTCGAAATCATGACACGAACGATCTTCATTCAATCGGGTGGAGCTGAAATGAAATCTTAAATTTAGGGAAGTATTAAAAAGAATATTAAATTAACTGTGCTTGCTCTCCTTTAACTTCCGAATGGTCCCTCATTCAAACATTTTAAGCTGTAAAACACAACCCTTTATTTCAAAATTATATCCAACTGCACAAAGTAGAGTACAAATAAGGCGCGAATAGAACACAGGTGAACCACAAATATTCCGCGATATTGTACAGTTGGTTATTTTGTACAGTAAAAAAACCTGTTTAACCGGTCGGCGGCACGCGCTACGCTTCTCTTTCCGCTTTTCTTTTCCCGCCAAGTAAAAAAATGAGCAGAGACGCAATAAAATTAAGCAATTAGATGATAAACAACTTATTAGACATTTTGATGTGTGGTATTGCTTACTGGTCGTTTGTTTTGAAATTTAAGGCTGTACAACAATATAGCTCAATTCATTATTGCTTAATTGTCTCCTAAGCAATATTGGTAGTAAATGATTGTGTAGTTTGACTTTTCTCTCATAGAAGATGTTTCAGTTTTTTTTACTGGTCTTGAGACAAATTCATATCGTACAATAAGTCTGTGTAGACAGTCTTAAGAGTCCCTCGCTATCTAATTATCTGGTAAAAATGATATAATTTTTGTTTGCTGAGCTTCATTTCAAAACCTGGATGTAACTCGGTTTTTTTTTCAACTGAAACATTTCATATGATTTTCAGTCTGAAAGCTTCTGTACGATACCCTTCTCCCTCCCCTTTTTCAGTTCAAGTTGCTATAGTTTTACTCAAACGATTTTACTGGCTCCCTATGGATGTAGGCCTCGCGCATGTTTTATACATTTGTAATAATGTGCTTGATACTGGTGCTGCATGAAGAGATTTATGCATCTCCAAATCTATTTCCGAACTGGCAAATTAAGCACAATAAATGGTACGGTAAAAGTTTAACCTTCTACCTCTTTTATTTAACACAATGTAACAATAGTTTTGAGAAGACAGTAAAAACACGCATGATCGGTCCAAACGGTCGCAACGCAACAGTAATTAGCCGCAGTTGTTAATTAGACGGGCATTTCTATCGTATGGTTTTATTGTAGTACAAAGTTTTCTTTTAGTCACAATGTAGTCTTTGTAATAACTTTTTATTTATGTTCCCTTCTCTTCATAGCTTTAGTTGCTTGTAATATTTTAACTCTTAAACTGTTATGTGCATTTAAAGATGTTACATAATTTGCGCACACTCTAGAAGTAGGCAGAAACACTCGACTATATTGATAAATCTTTCTGGTCACACCTCTCAACAGTTATTGTTATGAACTCTTAGATAAATGCGCATGATAATGTGGATTTCTTCTGATTTTGAAAAAAAAAGATAATATGTACAATGCGACGGAAAACTATTTTCGTTACCGTTATCCGTAATACTCTTCGAATGAAACGCCTCGGCTGTATTCTCTGCATGCCTCACAAGTGGACGCGTGATTCTAAATACTCCTGCCGTAGAACGAAAATAAAGATATTCGCGCCCCCCGTTCAGATACCTATAGCCTGATTCTCACTGATTATGAAGTTCTTCGACCCGCTCTCTTCTCTCCCCGTCAACAGTACCCCGCACGAAATCCTGTTCAGGACGCTTCTACCCTATGTGATTGGATAATTCAATTGTGCTAAAATATATTTATTACAACAACGTAAATTTTAGACACGAGATGTTAACGAATCTCGTTTATGCTCATTGCTTTTCCTTGGTTTTTTAAATGATAAGTTATTTGAAAACGCCACGTTAAGACTATCGGATGTCTACCGCTGAATGGTAAGGCGGAATTTTCAAGCCTCTCACCAACTTTCACCGTTCTTTGATCATCGACTGATCATCGATCCTTGATCATCGAATCCAACCTTATTGGGAACTTTTACTTTTGATTTTATTATTCCATTCCTTACGGCTTAGACTTAATTCTCACATGTTGTCTGTTGTTACTCTTTTAAGATAAGCTTTTCTGTTTCTCGTAGTTCTGCTACTGTGGTGGTGACTATTTTTACCTTGTTCTTCATGAAAGTTCCTCTCATATAATTTATCGATCTGACTGCTCTTTCCCAGTCGAGGAACCTTGAAACGCCATTAATGCGGCTAAACTTCTTCTTGACTGAAGTCGTGCGCACAATAGCCTAGTTCTCATATCTGACTACCGAAAATGTCTCCTCCTAAAAATAGAATTTTCTCCCCTATAGGAAGCAGGCCCTCTGAGACAATTAGATTTGATTAGTCCCTCGTCATTTCCTCGGCATCTCCCTAGGGCGTGATCGGCTGGATTATTCTTGATCTTAATGTATCGAGAATATGAAAGTTATTTCTAAAACTTTTGAGCTTGACTGAAAGAGCAGTGTGAGGCTGGAAAGGAAAATGCTCGCCGAAGCACAGATTAAGACTACGAAATTAGATTGTTTTTTTTTCAATCTGGAGACTGCTGAACCAGAGAATCGAGAAAAGTCTAGTAATCCCAGTGGCAAAGAAGTATGTGTGAACGCTCACTGAAGGCTGCGAAATCAATCGTTTTTTTTTTATAACTTTGGAGACGGCTGAACCAGAGAATCGAGAAACGGCTACTAATCACAGTGACAAAGGAGCATGTGTGTATGCAACATATAGAGACAGATCAGTTTGCGCAGTGGCGTGTAGTCGTCATTGTATCACCGGCTCAATTTGCCTCTGTTTTCTATTTTCTCTGCGCTGTTGTTTAAATCACTCCCTATTTTATCTGGGTAATTTAATTTCCTGTGTATGTCGTGTCCTAAACATTGATGAAGGCACGGAGATCTCGGATAGAGTAGATATGCATCATGCAAGCTATTAGTCAGCGTTGAGTTCGACCCACCATCTTTAAATTTCATCTTCTACAAGAAGGCATAGTGACTTTACTCGCCGGAGATCTTACACAACATACTCCTCACTCGCCTTCGCTCAGCAACTGGTGTCGACGCTAGTTGCTAGTCCACTTAATACGACTTTCAACAACAAATAGTTGCACTTGAAACTTAGACGACGGAACCATCACAACCATTCCAATCTTGCGCAGATTAATTGTGTATCCGATCTTCATCAGACAACAACGGCCATACTCATCTGACTGTGTGCACGTTAAATGCTCGCTCTATTGATAACAAATCTGCACTATTTGTTGATTCCGTCTATTGATGTAATGCTGACTTATTTATAAAAACCGAAACCTTGTTATCGGATAACGACCCTGTAATTTGCATTGTGATAGCTTCACCTGGCTTCAAGCTATTTAGTTTCCCCAAAAGTACTCGTGAAGATGGGGGTACGCTTCTTTTGTTTATTTTTTAATTTTTTTTTCAACAGCTTTATTGGGTATGACTCATATAATACTAGTACAATAATACAGCACACGATAAAAATCGAAAGTACAAGACACAGCAAGAACAATTATTGATAGAGCAAAGCAGACCAAAAAAGTCGTGGACCCAATAGGCCTGGTGCGAATTGCATACAAGGACCCTTGCGAGGTGACGCCCGTAAGATAAAAAAGGAAACAAAATAATGAACACTGAGATCAGTTGCACCATTCAGACATTTGAACAAGAAAACGAGGACACATAATATTTAAAAAAGAAAACGAGAATCGAAAAATAATGAGCTGCTTTTTGGTCGGTTCTTCGCAAACTCTAATTTCGTTCAAGAACGTCTTTTGAATGTTCCGACTATCTCGGCTCCATCAAATATTCGAAATTCACGCCTTACACTGGCCTTAATATATCGTCGACCGTACTCTAAGAGTCAATCTTGAGACTATCATCAGTTTTATTGAGGAATTTTAAGACTTCTTGAAACCTATCATTTTATCTCGTGATCCTCTTTTCTTTACTGGTGATTTCGATATACGTGTTGATGATCACAATCACATGACGGCTTGTCATTTCTTTGATTTATTGGAGTTGATATTATTAAATCGACGTGCGTCGGAATCAACACATGAACTGGGCCATGTACTGGATCTGATAATTACGTGGAGTTCAGATAACTTTATCAGTGGTCAACGTATGTCTGACATCCTGTTTTCGGATAATCTGACACTGCTATTCAAACTGAAAACAGCTTGACCACCCTAAAAGTTAACCTTGTCTCATTTAGGAAGCTGCGATCATTTGATATGGACGCATTTCTTGCGATAAAAAGTATCGAACACTGTGTAAGGAACATCCGTTCATGGATGTTGAACGATAATCTTAAACTGAACAACAACAAGACCGAATTCCTTATTATTGGGACACCAAAATAATTACTGGGAAAATTGGACAACTGTCAGTGCATGTGTTGTTGATTGGAACATCAAACCTGTGCCCATCACTAGCAGTAAAATATCTGTGTCTGATTCCAGGCTATGTCAACACACATCACAAATATATGCAGCTTTTCATTTCACGTCCACAATATTTACCACATTAGAAAATATCTCTCACAACAGTCAACTGAGGCCCTCGTTGGTGCGTTCATTAAAACCCGAATAGACTACTGCATCAGCCTCCTGTATGTATCACTAGTTTGTTTTAATACCTAATCTGCAGCGGATAAAGAATGCTTGGGCTAGACTGATTTTCAGAGAACAAAAATTTTGCCATGTAACATCGCTTATTTTTTAATTACGATACCGATACCTACCGATAAGAAGCAGAATGGAGTTTGAACTGATTCCAACTACTTTTATGATTCATTAAATTTTAAGCTCCCTCTTATCTAATTATGATCTCAGAATTTCCAATGACAGATTATCTTTAAGTCATACCTGTTTTCAGTCTGAAGCTAGCCTATAGGTGAACAATTTTTACTGGTCTGTTTAAATTCTTGAATGCGCTTCCTCTGAGTATAGGGGGTGCAAATACAATCGAAATCACTCTTTTTTAGATGGGCATCTTTAATCAGGGCGTTTTATTGTAGTTCAAATTTCTCTTTTAATTGTAATGTAGTCTTTTTGGTAACCATTCACTCGTATTCACCTCTCTTCGTAGCTTTAGTTGATTGTAATATTTTAACTCTTGAGATGCACAGTTGAAAATTTTATGGAATTTGCGCACCTAGATTCATCATCATCATTATTATTATTGTTATCATTATCATCATTTAAACGCCCCAGTCTTACCATTATTAAGGTGTACCTTTGTCAATTAGATATTCCAGGAGTAAGTGTTGCCTCGCTCATGTATGAATGCTATCCACTAAAGGAGGAGCAATACCCCGAGATACAATCGCTTTCTGCCATCTTCGAATCGAGTAGTGGTAGAAGGCAAAGACGATTATTGACTTTTTTCTTGATATAATGTCAAATCCGCTGCAACGAATAAACTGTGTTGCCTATGTGTAAATTCCACTTGCTACCGAGGGCCCAAGAGTGTCTTTTCAACTCGGGAAGGAACGTCAGTTTTGAGTAGAAAAACTCACATATCATTTAATCCAGTGCGAAGGTACCACAGCTCAAATAATCAACGCAACTAAAGAAGTTTATTGTGTTAACAATCAAGCCGTACTTTCGCAGTACAGGAAAGGGGTTTAAAAGGCCAGAGCAGGAGAAACTTCGACACCGTAAACAATGCACAAAGAAGAAAACATTTTCGCTATCTATTTCTTTTAAGACAACCAAGTCAAAATAAAAGATGGGAAATACTCAAACATTCCCTTCAAATATGCTTATAAACGAACTAGAGTTGAGCTATCGATGGAACAGTGGTTGACACTGTAAAAAGATGGTTTCGTACTTCGTTTCAAAATCTACTTATTTCAACCACTGATTCGGACAGTTTTTCTTTTCACTCCACCACAGACATGTTCTGTCGACTGGAATCGTTCGTACGCGGCATTTTGCAAAAACTTTATGTCAGTTTGAAAGAAACCTTGATACAACGTGCTGATTGATTCACGTATTTTGTAAAAAAAAAAACAACAAGTGTTTTAAGTGACCGAAAATAAGTCACGATGGCTCTTTCTCCAAAACAACCTCGTGTTAAAGAATAATGTCGCGTCAGTTCGTAGTAATTTATATAAATTATAACCCAGATTAAAAGGAATATCTGCATGGTGCATGACAAAGTATATAATTAAAAAAAACTCCTGACATGATTTAAATAATGTGAAACTATTTTTAACATTATCGGATATATCTTCATTGGCCTCACTGAATTTAAAATAGTGGCTTAATTAATATTTCATTATCCTAAGGCCGAATGGCATTGTTTATTCAGCATTTTCTGAAGTTGATACTATCTGCATATCCAAGTAGAGGTAATGAATTAAAAACCATGAGACATAATTTTTCGATTACTTGGCTGGAATGAAAATTAAATCTAAAAGCAGCCAAGATTAAACGAATTAAAATAAACAGATTGTTAAAATGAACTTTATGTGCCATCCTTTGACCCCTGTATGGTTCAACATTCAAACATCTGAAGCTGTTTACCCATTTGAAATGTCTCAAGGATAATCGTCGCTCATGTTTATAATCGATTCATTGTTTATTCAGCTTCATTTATTGAATTCAACTGATAAACTTAACGAAATATATTTAAAATCATCTTAAAAGATGTATCCTTTCAACCACTCTGGAAACACATTTCAACAGTTACTTTGAGGAACCCTTAGGGGCAATCATTGATCATCACTGATTAAACAGTAACAACACGGCGAAAAAACTATTTCGTTACCGTCACCTATAATAAAAACTTTATGAAACAAGACGCTTTATGTGATCTTATTAAGCAGTTATTGAGTGTTTGGTTCCATAGTTAACCAAATTCAACTTCAATTTATTGACTTCCAATTTTTCGTTTTGCCTTTCATTAACGTTTATTTGCAGTATAGGTGTCTTACTTACAGCGTCAACATCCCCGAGTCGGAAACTTTAATGCCAGCGAACACTCCTGGTGGTAAATCCTGTAACTGGTTGTTGGACAAGTCCCTGGAATAAATAAGTCATTTTAACGAAGTGTGAACTCTGCTGTATGTGACGTGCGTGTCTTCCTCCATCTTGAAAGCTCCCGACACTTTTCCAAAATAATAACATTAACGTTTGTATTTACCTCACATTAGTGGATAATTAAATCAAGTTACTCTACCCTTGAGATCCTAATGCAAAATAACATTGTTCGATTAATCTGCCAACATTTCACACCATCCGGTTTTCTGAGCAGTGGCACAAATTTTAAAGATAGCGGATACTTTGATCAGATTAATTGCTAGTCGATAATTAAAACTCGCAAATTGAAAGAAATGGGGGACACATTTTAAACCACCTGTTGTTATATTCCTTTCGTCTCGCTGGTGATAAGTCCGAATAGTTTATTGAAACGCAAAGTGACCAGAGAGAATCTTTCCGGCCAAATGATGAAGAGTAACTTTGATATTAGCACATGCCCCTGATGTGAAATTCTTTCGGAAATCTCAACAAAGATTTATTATCACACTTAATATTAACTGAATTTTCATTTGAGCGACAAGCACTAATTTTTTATTGAGTGGCATCCATACAAAAATAACGGTTGCACTGGGCGTTTTTAGTGCCGGTTGTCTATATGTGGTCTTGAGCAGTAATGTAGAGACTAAATGACTGTAAATATATGAAAATCATATATGTGAACTGCGAATAAACAAATAAATATGGAAGCCATCTTCGCATTAATGAACATTATTCAAGCTGTAGTGAAATTAAGGTTCAAATCCCGTACAGGCCTGAATTTTTTTCAGGCCTTTTTTATTCAATTACATAGATGAGTTTACTTTATATTGAAATGATGAGCAAACACTATGGAGTTTTGCTAAGTTTTCCATCGATAGACTTTTACAACGTTAACGATAGTGGATGGGCCACGCTCATTCAAATTCTGAAACACATGCTCAAAACTTTGAATCTTGATGATCACGTTTATCATCCTTCATGCCAATGAATGTTTCAGTAGCTGACTCCTCACTTGGACTTTTCTTGTTTGTAAAGCGTCTTAATGTAGTTCCACTTCATATCATGATTCATTAGTCTGAACGTGTTTGTACAATATCCCTCTGCCTCCCTTTTTTCAAGTGTATGTTGGCGGAATTTTAACTCAAGATTTCACTGGTTCCCAATGGATCACATGCAACGCGCATGTTTTTTTTTTTCTTTTTTTAATTTTGCAATAATTTTATATCGTACTTGATACTCGTGCTGCGTGAAAAGCTTTATGCATCTCCCATCTATTACAAGCGATTTTACAGGCGAATTGAACAAGAAAAACGGTTAAGCAAAAATAAAACCTTCGACCTGGTTTATTTAACAAAACGTAGCAATAGTTTGAGAAGACAGTAAAAATACGCATGATCGGTCAAAAAGTCAATCACGATATCGTAACGCAATAGTTACTAACGCAGAAGGGTTACGCGAAAGTGTCGCAAATCAGCTGCGAGCCAGACAACATCTTTGCTGGTCGCAGCTGGTTATTAGCAGGTTTGCAGCCATTGGCAAAGTGCTTCATCCTTTTTCGAATGAAACCCCCTGGCTGTATTCTCTGCATGCCTCACAAGTGGACGCGTGAATTCTAAAAACTGCTGTCCTACAATTAACGCAAATGAAGATATTCGCGCGCCCAGTTCAAACACCCATTGGCTGATTCTCACTGAGCGCGTAGTTGTCCGCCCGGCTTTCTCCTCTCCCCGTCCATAGTACCTCGCACGAAATCGTGTTCAGGGCGCCACTACCGTATTTGATTAGATAAGTTAATTGTGCGAAAATATATATTCATTACAACAACGTAGATTTTCGACACGAGATGAGAGCGAAACTCGTTCATGCTTATTGCTTTTCCTTGGTTTTTAATCGAAAACGCTCCGTTAAGATTACCGAATGTCTAACGCTGAATGGTAAGGCGGAATTTCAAGCTTCCCACCGACTCTCACCGTTCTTTGATCATCGATCGATCATTGATTTTGATCATCCGATCCAACCTAAATAGGGAACTTTTACTTTTGTTTTTTAGCGTTCCATTGCTTACGGCTTATACTTAATTCTTGAATGTTGTCTGTTGTTACTCTTTATAAAAAGATTAGCTTT